ATCTGCTGATTCTCACTTTATTCGGCCAGATCAATAAGAAGGATAAGTTGTAATATCCTCATGTGCCTATGAAAATTTCATAACAAATCATTCCTCTCATGACATTTAAGAGTCCTAGTGACTTGGCTACTTTTTACCTTTCAAGTCCTGCTCTCTCTAGCTACATGCTACCTCATTAATTAGATCCAGTCAGAATGAATTCTCTTCTCTCTTCTCCCATCCAGCTGCTCCTCATCTTTCAGCTCTGAGCTGACATTTTTTTCCCCAAAAAAGTCTTGTGTAACATGTAAGGAAGGGAAGGGTGTTCCCATCTGAAACTTCTTAATGATAGTGACTTTCTTGTGTGCCATCTGGTCACCAATGCCTAGCATAGCTTTTGGCATGTACAAAGGCACTCAAAATGTTTGCTCAATAAATAAATAAATAATGTTAGGGCATAAACCTTTCCAATGTTCAATTTTGCATTCTAGATTACAGCCAAACATTTCTTCTACTGCAGTCTAAATGTGATTTTGTACATTCAGTCAACAAATATCAGCTTTAACACTGAGCACTGTATTGGGACTCTATGCCCAGGCTCCTGGAATAATAGTGTTTATTATAGAACAGGGCCTCAATACATGCTTTTGTAATGAAGTAATTACTAAAAAGATGATCAATATGTCCATTTCCTAAGTCATTCAGAAAAGTTTTTGTGTGTAATTAAAGTGACATGGGACAAAATACAGGAAAAGCTAAATGGGAAGATTGTTGGTAACTTTTGTTTGCAAAGAATGGAGCAATAAAGAAATCTTTGTGGCATATGGAATGCTGACCTTAAGTTGTCCATGTTGTTGGTCATTGATTCTTGAGAAAGAGACTACTGAATCTGCTATGGCCTAGTGCTTTGCTAGTCTTGACAAGGATAATATATATGTAGCCTACTGACTCAATTATATGTTTTTAATGATATCCTCAAATTCTACCAGTCACAAGTACTCTCCTCATGTGTTTGCATGTCCGTTGATGCAGCTGAGCATAATAGATTAAGAGTTCTGGCCCTGAATCCAAGCAGCCTTGGTTTGAAATCTAGCCCTACCATCTGGTAGCTATATGACCTTAGATAATCAACTGAACCTCATTATGTCACAAAACATTTACAGTAGAGTTGACAAAATAATAGCACTTACCTCAGTGGGTTATTGTGAGATTTAAATGAATTCATACAAAATGGTACTTGACAAATAGTGTGAGATCAATAAATTTTAGTTCTGTTTATTATTATTACTGTTAGTTTGGATGTTGTGAACAAAGGGTGAAAACCTTAGCTGGGGTTTCTGTACTTAGGTAGAATGCTTGTCATTTGCCTGTTTTTCTTTACACGACAGTTAATTCTTTACCTTCTTCTTTGCCTGACTCCTACATGCTATGGTTCACGCACTTCCTTGCCAATCACTGTAGTTTCCTGCCAGATTTGCCCTGCAGAAGTTCAGATAAGAGACGGACATTAAGAGGCCAAGAGTCTCTTTCTTTTTGGTTAAAGAGAACCAGAGCTGGACATTAAAGTGGTAAAAAGAGAATTTATTCAGGTATTATTGCAGTGGGGGAGAGACTTCAGTGTGGAATTGGGCTGAATTCCATGGATAGCGTGGAGATTTATAAACAAAAGCAGGATAGGGGTCAGTGGATGAAAACATACTAAGAAAACCCTAGCAATAAAAGGAGAAGACAGGTTAAACAGACTTAACAGTATTCTTGCTGAGGGCAGGGTGGGGCAATCAGAGACCAAGGAGGAGGGATGAGTATTTGGTCAGATGAAGGGTGCTAAGATATCCAGGTGGGTGCTTCTCTCTAAACTGACTCAGCTAGGCCGTAGAGCCTTGACTAACATGCAGGCCAAAATAGAGACCTGGAGGGCTTGGAGGAGTTTGACCAGAGTTTAGTCAAGGACAGGGTTTCTGTCAATGCCTTCACTAGTGGAAGCTATATTGTCTCCATTTTCTCTTTCCAGAGTCTTTTTCCATGTTCCCGGGTCCCACTTCGAAGCCCCAGTTCCAAAGCTTCCTGCCAGAATTCTGCTTAGGAAGTGAGGCCAATACAGAAGACATTAGAACAAGAGGAAATGACAGATTCTTAATGATGAATATCATTTAATCCTTATCCAGCTGTGTCTGAAGATTACATATGACTAGAGTTCTAAATGTGTGAGCCAGGTCTATGAAAATTCCCCTTTTGCTTAAGCTTCTTTTACTTGCCACTGGGCAAGGCCTAATATGATGTCTACTAATCCTTGAAAACAGCCTGAATTATTATCACTGTATAAAAGCTATTGGTATTCTCACTGGGTATTTTTGCTAGAATTCATATAACTGCTATTTATTGTCCTTCTAGGATTAAGGGTATGAAGATGAGCAAGTTAAACATAGTCTTTATTTCTGCCAGCACAATAATAAGTAATTAATTTTTTCAAAAATGTTAACTTTTACTATACTAATCCTAAAATGTAGTTTTCTCTGGAGATCCAAGCCTCTTGTCTTAGTTGATGTGTATTCTAAAACTAAAGGACATCCCATCCATTTTAATATGAGGATATAAACTAAAATGCAAAGCAGGAACTTTAGGGGGATAGTTTCCATTTATTTTTGATAAAGTAAATCCCAAGCCTCCAGTTCTTTATGAAATTTTTCTATTGCAGGAGGATTTTTTTGATGTGATAAAATTAACTGTGCCATTGCTGTAGGACGATCACTCATTCTGTGGTATGCATTCTCAGGACTCCTCTCCATTTTCCTATGATGATGCAGTATGTCTTTTGATAATGCGTGGGTCTCCATCTCAGTCACTAGTGTAAGCCCCTGAAACTTCCTTGAGACATGTCCAAAGTTCATTTACTTTTGGGATTTAAAAAAATTTCTTTCATGTTTGATGAAAGTAAATTTATAATCTGATACAAATGCACATCTTGTTGCACCTGTGTTGTCAATGGGTGTACACGTTTTATCTCCAAAATATATGCAGTGGCCTTTGGTTAGTGTTGTGATATATGACTAGAATGTAGTTGCCATGGAAACAATAACAAAATTCTCTGACCTATGAAAGGTAGGGAGACTGAGTGGTGGTAGCTATGATCAGCTGAAAGGCTGCTGGTAAAGTAAAGTGAAGGTTTAAAAGTAAGAGCCCTTTTCTACCTTAATTTTCTGATCAGAGAAATCTGTTTTTCCCTCATGTCCACGAGAATATCCATCTCTAGGCTTACATCTGTAGGCTTACTAGTATTCTTTTGAGTATTATTTTATACCCAATTTATTGTGAATACTGGATGAGTGGAATTTTGGACTTTCTTGTTGTATTTGTTATAGAATATTTTACATTATATAAAATCATGGCTTTTGGTAATCAAACATAATTTAGATCAAGATTAATGTCCACCAAAGACATTACTGCTGTTAAAATGGGAAATTTGTCTTTCATTTGGAGTTCTTTTCATTTGAGATTTTCTTTTCATTTTTTAACTGCAAGCATATTAGTCAAGTGGACCATATTTGATGCATTCTCTCATAAAAAGGAAATATTCTCTAGGATCCCTGTGTCTACTGGGGAGTTTTCTTTATAACTTCTTATACAGCCCTGAAAGTTTTGCATTCTTTAAAGTTTGGAAGATGCTCTAACTGAGAAGCTCACATATTTTATTTTTTCTATTCATACCGTATGTAAGGGGAATGGGAGTGAATTATGGCTTTAGGGACATGGTGTCATTGTCCCAATAACTCAGTGGGGTTACTCTGTGCTAGCATAGTGTTAAACTCCATGAATGTGGAAATGGATAGAGAATGACTCCTTCCCTGAAGAACCTGCTTGGTCGCATGAGCAGAGAATATATATTATGACTGCTCATTAAATGGGGACAATACAGCAAGCAGCAAGGCAACAGATTCCGCTAAATATCAGCTGGATGGAATGGGCGAATAAGCAAACAGAGTGGCAAGAAATATTCAGATGAACCCCATGGAAGGATAAGCCTAGATAAAAAAAGGTTATATTAAATGTTAGTGAACTTCAACATGTGTAAATGTGCTGTGTATATTTTAGTGAATGTGTCAAAAATTATAATAAAAGAGACAAAAATCATGCAACCTGGTGCAAGACATAAATGGGACAGGTTCTAGTGATTAAGGGACTTTAAGTAGATTGGTAACACTGGGGGAGCAGAAGATTCTAATTAGTATTTTCTAGGAATGAAGGTGCTCAGGAGGTTGCCAGGGCTGTGAACGACAGGTTAGGGCCTTTGGACTTATCAGACACTTGATACCACTGAGGCAACATGGCTTAAACCAGTGATTTGGGGTCAAGGTGAGCATCATGCAATGGTGATTGAATAGATTGTCACTGACTTCTTAGTGAGAAGTAACCACTCAGTAAATGTGAATGAAATTTGGTTGCAAATAAAACCAATGTGAAACAAACACAAAAGAACTGTAGGATTTTGGCTGGTGTTTTGTGACTAGGAGGTCTTGTTAGCTCTTAACTCTTCCACTCCTTTTTCCTCCGGTGTTTCATGCATAAGATATTGTCACATCTAGTCTTTCATTGTGGATATGAATCCAAAAAGCCTAGTTTTTGTCTATGAAACTGTATAAAATGTGCACCGTATGTCAGGTTTTTCCTCACTGTGGTGCTTTCGGTGAGTTAGTTCCTCTGGAGAAACTGACCAACCTTGATGTCACAGAAGTGAAGATATGGTCTTCTCCAGTTTTCACACTCATCAGTGAAATTGTGAAGATGTGTTGTAATATTGCCAACTCTGGGGGGTTTTAATTTTTATCTTTTGGAAGCACAGTGGGTAATCTCTGCCTAAAGTTAAAGGGTACTAATTGTGTCCAACATGGGACAGCCATACAGTTGGGCATGCTCACTGCACATGGAGTGGGATACCTTACAGGTTTTGTTTGTGTATATTTTCAAATTTGAATGCATTGTGAAATAATAAGCAGTCTTATCATGTGTTTTCTTCTTTTTCAAAGGATCTTCTTAAGAAATGCTACTCTGCTGAGGCATCTTACCTCTTCCAGCAGGACAAATTCTATGATGTCAGCTATGATACAGGAGACAAGTCTATCCAATGTAGCAGGAGACCAGATGCATTCAAATTCTGGATGACCTGGAAGGCCCTGGGGACATTAGGCCTTGAAGAAAGAGTTAATCGTGCTCTTGCTTTGTCTAGGTATGTGTGTGTGTGCGCGCGCGCGTGCATGCGCATGCGTGCTTATGTATGTTCTAAAATACATAAACCAAATGCAATTAACCTTGGTAAGATTCCATACATTTTTTTTTGCTTGTGAATTCCTTCCCTCGTGCAGCAAACATTTTAATACCTACTATGTGTTAGGAACTGTGAATAGAGCTGTACTTCTACATTCCCTCCAAGATCCTAGCCTCTTGATGGATATTTTCAGATGAGAAAGCAGATGAAATACAAACAAGTCACCTTTTTGGTAAAAGAGGTACCTGGTGCACCAAGGGCACTCAGGCAAGTTCCTCAGTTTGTTCTTAAGGAACATTGGCAGAGTCTTGAAGGAAGATCGTCAACTGAGATCTACTGAAGAGGAGGGAAGAATGGTTCAGGCAAAGGGAGCACCAGTCCCAAATCTCTGGATGTAAGAAAATTCAGATGTCAGTGTGACTTTAAAGACTCACAAAGCAGATTTTTGAAAATGTGGGGAAAGTGTAAAAGGATAAAGGAAGATTATATGGAAGCATTGTGTTTCCTTGCCGTTTGTTATCATTACAAACAAAGCTTTTGCCATAACTTTCAAGAACATTAGAAAAACTCTTGAGATACAGGTGTCAGACACTTGTCACCTGAACAGGACTCAGCTGCTAAACTTAGAGCAGTGGGTGCAAATAAATGAGACACAACCAAATTTAACTTTGAATGTGTTTTGTAGATTATACCCTACATAGGATTGAACTTAATGGTGTTAATAAAATATTTAAATATTTGAAATGTATTTCCCCCAAATCTGGATTTTTGGCATTTCTTAGATGGCTCTTAATTCTACATTGTATCAATTAGCTGAACTTGATTATGCCTAAATCTATGGAGGACCACACTCTCTGACACTTCCTCCTGTGTGTGCATGTATTTAAAATCTAGCATTGAGGTACAGGAACTGGATTCAGAACCTTGTTTTATCACTAACAAGCTATGAGACTTGGGCAAGTTTCTTAACTTCTCTGTACCTCAGTTTTATCCCAGTAAGATAGTAATAATATCAACTGTTTCAAATATTTATTGTGGCGATTAAGAGAACTGATATATGTAAAACAATTAAAACAATACCCAAGATGTACTACATATTATATGAGTTATAATAATTTTCTTACCTGTTTGGCCAGTATGGGCATCAGAGTTTGTGATCTCTGGTTTGGATAGTCTTTCCCTCTTCACTCCTTGTTCACATATCACTTGCAAAAACCATAAATATCTTCCCAAAGATTTATAATAATTTCTTCTTCTTACTCAGAAAAATAGAATGAATATTCTGTGGAACCAAATGGCTGAAACCCAGTGTCTTGAAACAACAATTATTTATTCTCTGGGGTCTGCAATTTGAGTAGTGGGGTTTTACCTCATACTCAGGAAGCAAGGGTATTGAAATCTACTCTCCACATTTTTTTCATCTTCTTTTGACTAGCAGGCTAGCTGGGGCACATTTTTGTGATGACCATGACAGAAGCCCAAAAGGCAAGTCCACTTTAACTCTGGACTGCATTATATCTAGTGACTTTCCTTTAGTCAAAGCAAATAATATGGCCAAACCCAGAATACACAGTTAAAGACATGGCTTTGTTTCTTTCAGAAGACTTCTAAAAATCAGCAATTCTGGTAATTATACTTTAAGAAGTAGTTTCAATATCTGTGAATATTATGTCAGGGTTCTTTGGTGGTAAGCAACAGAAACCTTAACCATGCTATCAAAAATGAAGAAAAGCAATTTATTACCCCATGTTACTTGTATGAATTGTGTAGTGATGAATCCTGAAATATCTTATGGGGCTTAAAGAATATCATCAAACTTCAGTCTTCCTGTATCATTCAGCAATTTTTTTTCATGTTAAATTTCTTCCCATGTAGAAAGGTAGGTGTCAGGAGTCATATCTTTATTATTCCAGGTTCAAGTTCAAAGTCAAAAGGAAAATGTGGCCCTCTTATAACAATCTCAAGGAAAGTTTAATTATTAATGAGTGAGGGAAATGTCTTTCTCAGAACCATTGTTTGCCAGGGTAATGTGATACATGCATTGGTTATGCCAAGTCACATGTCCTCGCTTGGCACTGGGAGAATGTCAACTCCTATAGAGGATGTTCAGAAACCAGATGAGGAATGTGCCTTTACCACAAAGGTTAAAGTGCCTCTATTAGAAGTAACTACTACCAAGTACTGAAAAAATGAAACTGTGTACCATAAATATTCATAGTTGCCCATTAAATTAAAATAAATATCAGGAATCTCTTTCCTGCTTTTTATTTTCTTGTACTATTTAAATATGGTTGTCTCTGTATTATTTTGTCTAAGCTGCTAAGTAATTCAATGACAGGTGTCTTGAAATAAGGCTAGATATAAATATTTGATGATCATATTTATTATGAAGTTAACATTCATCTCAGGATAGAATTTAGTTTATAGTCTAAGGATATTTTCTAATTTTTGCAGAGAAATATCACAGGAGGATAAATGTTAACATTTCAATTCAATTCAACAAATACTTATTGTTTGTAAATGTTTGTCAAGTTGAATTGAATTAACATTTCAGTGAGTACCACTGCAGACTCTTGTGACCTATATTTAAATATTTGAAAAAGAGTCCTTTCTCTTTCATCATGCCATTATTCATAATAGTTCTTCTGATTTCCCTTTACTCACTTTTGTTTTTTTTTGCGGTACCAGAGATCGAACTCAGAACCTTGCACTTGTGAGGCAGGCACGGCACCACTGAGCTAAATCCCTGGCCCCTTTACTCACTCTTGATATCTAGTAGTTTGACAATTCATGTGGTTGACAAAAGTCATCCTCTTCTCCCACCCCCAAGGCCAAGGAAAAGGACAGAGTCCTTTCATTCATGTCACTTGTAAAGAATATGAAGTGATAAACTCGGAGAGAGTTTCTCTAGGATGAAGAAACATGGTAAACTAGCAACAGAAGGACTTCTGTTTCATGAACTTATTTTTTAATTTTTACTGGTTAATTTGCAGTCCTGCGGTTTTAGGAAAGAAAGAGAATATTATCTCAATTCTGTAGTCTGTTCTGTTTGCTTGAACCTGTGAGCAGTGGTGTGCTGGTGCACTGACTCTCAGGAGGAAAACAAAAAAGCTCCCCTTGGTAGTTTCTGCCAGTTTTCATGGTGTAAATATTCCCATTATGGCAAACCGAAAGTTACCAACAGTGGTGGTGTGCAAAATCCTGAAATATTTAGCAGTGGGCTGTCCTCAGCCACTAGAAACTGGCTCTCAGAACACCACTGATTATGGGAATTATGGGTATAATTATTTCAAACACTGAAGGATTAGAATGAAAATGCTATTTGCCCTCAAGCCTACTGTCCCATGGGAATTTGCTTCAGAGTTGACTAAGATATTTTTTCTCCATAGTCAGAACACTCTACCAGGCGTAATTTTTCATCAGAGTTACTTTGTTTTATTTCCAAGAAGAATAATTTCCCTCAGTAGATAACAAGACAGTAAAGCTGCACATGATGATGATGTCACTATGTTGAGTGCTCATCTGTTATCTGCACCCTGCTGTAGCTATAATACCTATTTCTCTAGGTCCTAGGTCAGATCTCCTAAATACTGGAAAAACTATGCAACTCTTTCCTACCTGTTCTATTACAGTAAGAATTGCACTAACTTTATAGAAGCAATTTTCCATGCTCCTGAAAATACATGGAGGTTAATTTTTAAATTTGCGTATTGACCTTAAGATGTAAGGGCCAGATTTTGATACACAGTGATCACTGTCCTGATCACATGGCTCTCCCCATCTTCCCCAGGGAGAGTAAGAGTATATATTTCTAAGAAGACAATGCTTCTGATTTTGTATGTTGCCAAAACTCTATAAATAAGGGGAAAATAGTGCGTAGAAAACCTCTAAGGATTTCATGAATTTCCATTTGACCCTGTCATTCCAATTGAGAAGAACACATTTCTCTCAAAAACACATTAATGAATCAATTGCTTTTTCCATTGGCTTTTGGAAAATCAGTGATATTGAGAGCCTAAAGTAATATGTGATTATTAAGCATAATTGAAATCCAGAGGGTTCAGCCTTAAGAAAACCTCTATTGTCACCAAGCAGGTGAATGTGCATCTCTGATCTCTGCCTAGAAAAAACTGGCAGTGCTTTACAATATCCAGGACTACCTGTTCCAGAGGGCACCTGCTAAGCCTTTGCTGTGGCACTCAGGTTAAACAGATATTTACTAAGTAGTAATTTTTAAAGCAAGCCTCAAAGAGTCATATGTGTGAGTCTTTTCACCAACAAACAGCTCAGAAACTCCCATTCTGCCACTTTATTCAGTCCCCCGCATATCCTTTATCTATTCTCTTGACACACAATCTCTGCAATCTCTCAGGTGGAATTTATTTTATAGACTTGCATGCATTCTGCAGGATTTATTGCTATCAGTCTGGAACAGGTGAGCAGTTACACAATGGCATTTTTTTGCTAGTGTATTTTTCTAGGCAGTGGGAAAGACAGAGTCTAGAAGGGTCAGTGTGTTCAACTTTTTCTTTAAATTGGTGATTTCTTACAAATCACAGTTGCAGGAGAATAGAGTATCTGGGTGTCTGAGATGAATCACACCATCCATGGGCTGTGTTCTGATATGAGCAGAGCATACAGGAAGCAGATGGAAAAAATCTGAAGAGTTCTGGGAGGCTCTGTGCATCCATCAGAATAAATTTCAATGAGGAAGATGAGACTGGTAGAGAAACATGGTCCACAGATGGTTCAGGAAGTGCCTGGTGGGTTGAATAAGAGACTGGGGCAATATTTCCAGTAATGAAATAATATCTTGCAACAAGGACAAGTGAAATTAAAAAATTAAATAGACTTATGTAACAACTTGAGGAATTTAGAGTCTGTAACATTGTATGTAAAGGAAGAAGAATTGTTTTGAAGCAAGGTTATTAATATATATTTCAGAATCCAGTCAGAATATTAATACAAGCTTTCACCCTTTTTATGATTGGTGAAAACTGTTGCTAATATGTATTTTTGCTTCCCTCTCTTTTATGCCAAGCTTAGTGAAAATGACAAAGATAAGCCTAATGACATTATTGTTTCTTTTTAAGTCTACATACTCACTTGCTTTTCACAGTAGTTTATGGATTTTGTATATACCCTAAAACTGAATGTACATAGTTTTTTTAATGTATTTTAATTTTAGACTTTTTCCATATATTGAACAAAGTTATGAAGAATGAATTATCCCTATGAATGTAGACAGCTATGACAGCAAACTTATTTGAATTCTCCCCTAACAACTCATTTCAATTTCATTTAAACATTACAGGAGAATAGAGTTCTCTGTACAAGTACTTCTAAACTAGTATTTCTGAGCTATGCTCAGAAGATCTCAATAGGTGATCTTTTTAAAAATGTTTCCATGGTCAAGTATAATCAGGAAATGTTAACTACTGTATTATTCTTCTCTTGGAAATTCAAAATGCTCATCAGGATATTAAAGACTCTGAGAGGGCCTGTAACATAGAAATGTTTTTAACTGTGCTTTCACCAGTAGGCAGATACTGTTGATTGCCTCCCAACAACCACTTTATGTTTTTCCTTGCCAGTAAACTCTTGGTTTTATTTAAGTAGTAATGATCCAGCTAGGAACATTGGTGTAACCAATCCCCTTTTGCCAGTAATTAGTTTAGGGTTTGGTATATGACTCGATCAATAAGATACAGGAAGAGTTATTTAAAGACTTTTGGAGAAATTATGTTTAACTGAATAAAGAGAGGTGTATGATGAAGAGAAAGTGCTTTTACCCTTGTCCCTTCTATTCCTTTTGGGAACACTATTTGGGTAAGGAAGTAACACAAGCAGTTGTGGTAGTTATTCCTGTGAATACAGGAAGGGACCTCATTAATCTCTGCATGGCCACCTGAAATGGCAGGCAATGCCTGGCTCCTGGTGACATTTTTGAGTCATCTAATCAGCTCCATAAATGGCCTCATGAATTAAACCAAGCATACTTGCAACTGTAGACAAAAACAGTCAAATTGGTATGCCCAGCAATGCTCAACACTTATTTGCTAGTGGAACGTTTTTCTGTGTAAAACTTATTAACATGGTGTACTGTGAAGCATAATTTGGGAATTCTGGTGTTAGACATTGTTATCTTTGTAATAGCAGCAGTTCTTTCCCCAAGTAACCTCTACCTTCAACACTACTGCAGTGTGACACTGGGCTTCACAGGCTCTGATGCTGATTGCAGTGGGAACATTAACTTCATCACAAGGCCCATGTCTACATGGATAGCAAAAAGCAGTTTTAACTGAAATAATCCAGATTCATTTGAGCATGTCTTTGGCCCTGATATAGCTTTAGCCTGTTTGATAAGAATATTTTAAATGAGACCAGAGATAGTGTGTGTGAGTTTTCCATAGTCATGATTTGTTAGGGGAGGATTTTACTGACTTGTATTCTCATCTCCATTACAAGGATGAGGAAACTGAGGCAGACTCAGAGAGACAGAGGAATAAGCCTACTGTCATAGTGATGATTATGCGCATGCACAATTAGCATCTCATAACCTAGAGTCATTTCCAAGGTTTCTGGAGGGGCAGGGCAGTTTTCAGAGAGCCAGGATGTTGAGGGTTAGGGTCCACCTCCTCAGGATAAAGTCACTTTGTCACTTTTGATTGCCTGTACCTTAGTACCCCAGAAGAGGAGAAAAAACGATGGTTCATAGCACGTTTCTCATATAGGTAGAGATTGAGTAGGCCTGTTTTGTTTTGAGATTTACATTTTTCATTCAAGTTCCTTTTTAAAAATTACATAGTAACTGTGCCTATAAAAGATGGCAAAGAAGCATAGGAAGAGAGTTAATGATCCCTAATCCCATTCCACCCTCCTCCTCTCTCCATCTGATAAGCAAACCTTAACTATTTATGATATAATTCTTCATATTTTTCTCTGTGCTCATGTCTGCACACAGATAGAGATTGGTTTTTCTTTCTAATGATTTCTTAAAAGGGAATCAAATTATCCACATTTCTCAGTACCTCTGTTTTATCTCTAATACATCATAAGCATCCCTGTGGATTAATTGAAGTAGATATAATCTACTCATTTTAATAGCTGTACCATATCATATTGGGTTACTATAGAACATTTTAATTTGCTATCGTACAATTTTTGGATACTAATCTTGTTTCTGGTTATTTTGTGTACAAAACACACACATATACACACAGAGCTTTATACACACATATACAAAATATCTGCATATGCATATTTATACTCTGGTTTAAAATATGTATCTTTTTGTCCTTTGTATTATTTTTTCTTAGTAGACTTGCAGAAAAGTTGTTTGGTTGATCAGAAGATGTAAGTACATTATTATTATTTTTAAAAGGTTTCTCACTAACACCTGCTGTTGAAACTCCTTAAAATTTGTTTCCAGTATCATGTAGGGAACATGGTTCAGTAATACTGTTTTCATTTGCACTTGTACCATAATGATTATCTTGGAGAAGATAATGTTGATTTTAACTTATAAGTAAGGATTACATACAAAATACTCTTTCCTCCAAGCCAGCAAGGTGATTCAGGTATCTGTGGCAAATCCTCATCCAGAATATGGATATGAAACCCATATATTCAGAGGTATACACCCAATCTACTTTATTTGTTTTTTCACACTGGAGATAAAAGCTGATGTTAACATTTGAGCTAGCCATCATCTCATTAAAAATATGTATTTTGGTTTTGTTGAGGTCCAGAGGATTGCAGTAAGCTTAAACCCTTAACTCTGCCCTTACCTGTATCTTATGTCTAAGCCTTATCTTGCATCAGAAGTAACAGTTTTGTTATCAGTCCTATTTGTGGTCTCCCTTATTTGTAGATTATAAATGTAATTGTGACTTTTAATTGTAGGTACCTAGTAGATGAGATCAAGAAGAGAGACGGATTCAAGTTACTGATGGAAGTAAGTGATTGAGATTGTGCTCCTGATTTTACCAGTCAACGGTGATGAAGGTAGTAATTTTCTAATCTGTTATATTTCATTGGTTTTTGTGTTGCAGACTAAGTCATTAGCTTAATTCATACAGTCCATTATGCTAATTTACTCAATTAGCAAGCATTTTTCCTTTGTTGGATCCCAGGTAATATACTTGCCTTTAAGTACTGAAAATTAAAATGCTCGATAATAATTACTAGGGATAATGCTGAATAAATTATGACCTCTATCTTGATATATAAATTGCATAATGATTGTACTACAAAAATTCAACTGTGCTGTACAGATGCCTGCATATGAAAAATCAATTAAGGGAATGTACAATAAAGCATACACTTTTCTCTTGTTATAAAATAATGAGGGCATATTAGCTTTGAAGCAGTGGGGAAATCAGCCATTTTGTTGTTGGTCTTGTTAGATTGTTTGCTATATATAAGAAATAAGATGGTTACAAACATACATTTATTCTAAAATATATGGCTAAGAACTGTAGGATATTACTTCTGATTTTTAAGAAATAGAAAGTATAAGGTTATCTTAGATCTTGTTACAGCATAAACAAGTATAAGATCACCTAAAGATGACAATTTAGGAAATTTGCTATATATAAAAATTCCAGCTAATTTTTGGTAACCCTTTATTCAGCAAGATACAGTCAGCAATTACTGTGTGCCAGGCACTAGAGGTACAAGATAGGAAAAGCTCCTTCTCTCAGGTACTTAAAAATGGAAAGTAAAAGACAATAAGCAAGCAAACTATACAAAAGAAATGGGTAGTAAGATGTCTTAAGCAAGCAAATAGGTTCATGAGAGATAATGTAGTACCCAGTAAAACATGTATCAACATGGCAAGTTCATGATAGAATTAAATAGAGTAAGATCTTGAAATGGGGCTTCAGGCAGGATGCTGTGCCCAGTTGGAGTAGTAAGGGTAGGAGCTCTTAAGCTTATTTTTGATCTGAGGCTTGAATGATGAGAAACATCAAGCCATTCAGACGTCAGAAGGAAAGCCGTTCTAGACAGAATCAGTAAACAATCCCAAAGGCTTAAAGTTGAAAAGAGCTCTCTGTGCTTGATGGGTATAGTAGGTGATGGGGTTGGAGAGGTGAGAAGAGACGAGATCAGAAGGGTCAGGTAGCTCAAGCTGAGACCTTTGGCTTTTATTCTAAATGCAGTCATTGGAGGTGTTTTAGAAGAATGGATTCTGACTCCAATTTAAAAAGATCATGTTGGATGTCACGTGCAGAGAGAAATGTGGAGTTGGTAGTAGAGAGAAGACAAGAAAAGAATAAATAAGGCAAACTGGGAGATTGTTGCAGTAGCCCAGGTGAGACATGAGGAGAGTCCTCAGCTAGCTTGAGAGATGCAGCTTAGAGAATCCAGAGCACAGCTTCCACCACTGTTCACAAAGGAGCCATCCGATTAGAAGGCCCTAAAATTTCAAAGTTCCTAAAAACCAGAGAGATAAAGGAGCTTGCAAAGTTGATATATAAATGACTTTTTATATATTTTTATACACCGCAAAGAACCAAGAAGACAAATTTAGAATGTGGGACATTCTACTGGACAGGTGACCTAATTTCTTCAATAGGCCAGTAGTGTAAACATAAAAGAGTGAGTTGTGGTAATTGCTTTAGGTTCAAAGAGGCTAAGGCTCCCTCACAACCAAATGCAGCATTTAGACTGTTGGGATCCTACTTTGAACAAATTAACTGTAAAAAGTTTGGGGAACAGTTAGAGAACTTTGAATATGAAATGGCTGAGAGGCTATCATAGAATTATTGGCAATTTCATTAGCCACAATAATGACATTATAACTGTAAGAACAAGTCTGCAGAATTTAGAAGTGTGTATCTAAGTCTGGAAGCAAGAAACAAGTTATATGATTTGCTTAAGTTGAGTTTGACTCACTTTTCAATTTCTTGAGTTGAGTTATCTGCTTTATATTCTCAAATTTGAGTTGCCATATTTTCTCTGGCAGTGGGACCGGTATGCTTATGGAAAGTACTGTTTATCTTGGAAATATACAGTCTTTGATAGCAATGAAAGAAAAACATGATGAGAAATAAGGTGCATATTTAAAATGGTTTTTAATATATTCTTCCTAAAGTTTCTATTCTTAGAAAACTTAGAAAGGAGCCCTTTCCCATCATATTTAGGAAATTACCTTCATATCCTCATGATGAAGGTAAAGGTGAATTTTAATCCTTAGGTAGCCTTGTGGCCCTGGATATTTTTTTTCTGTGTGAGCCAGTTGGTCCTTAGGCAGTAAAGTTGGCTTCCTAAATTACCTTTCAAAACTTCTACAAGCCCGAGTTAGATTCCTGGTAACAAACCCCCCCCCCAAAAACAAGAAAAAAACAACCCCAACTTCTACAAGAAGGGTTTTCTCAGTTGTTGCTGTTTTTCTTTGTGCTTTTGATGCTAAGAATGGACTTCAGGGCCTTGCATATGCATAGCTCACTTTATCACTGAGCTACACCTGGAGCCCTTGGTATAAGGATTTTTGTATGCAATCTACTTATTTTCCTCTTTATTTTGTGTCAAAAAATAGAGTAGAATCAGACCTTGAATTTCACATATAAGTGTTAAGGTGATGAAGAAGAGGAGAAGAGCACAAAAATGAGGAGTTGTCAAGAAGATAGCAGTAAGAATGCTAAGTGGAACACTGAAAATAGTAAATGAGCATAACAAAACAGAGTACGCAGTACTTGAATATCTTTTCCTGAAAACAGTGAAAATAATTCATATCTTCTTGAAGATGATTGAAAGTTATCCTTTCAAATAAATTCTGCATTATTCATAGTCTTCTGAAATTTGTAACTCTATTTTTCTCTGTGTTGGATCTCAGATCTAATAGATGTTTTCCTAGAGGCATATTCATTTCTACACTATCATTCACATATTTCATTTTGATATCTTGAAAAGGTCTTAATTATTCAGTTTTCTGTTTTGCTTTTCCTGGCTTCTACATTAGGAGGAGTTATTTAGGTGTCATAGATTTCAGAATAATAAAGGGTCTTTAAGGATATCTAATTGACCCACTGTCCATTGCAGGAAACCTCTCCCGACAGCACCTCTAATAGGCATTAGCCTCTACTTAAACACTGTGTGTTGCAGAGAGGTCACTAGTTCATCCCTCTTCCAGATAGCTCTGATTATTCATATTCTAGTAGTTATTCAACCTCACTAATGTGTACCCAGCATGATGTGATTTATCTTACACAGCAACACACAGTGTTTAATCTTTTTCTTGTACTTCTGTAGCATTTTTCTTTGTTTTTAACTTTAACCTTCCGATTCTCTCCTACTGTGGTTTCTTGGCAAAGGGATAGTAACACACATGGGAGTCAGTGTATTCAGAGGGATGCCAAAGAGCTGGAGTGAATAGAGGACGAGGCTTAATTGAGAGAGGTAAAGCTGGAAATGGAGATAGAGTCATTCCATGAAGGGTTTCCTCATATGTCTTGATTTTTTTACCTTCTTTCCCAGTTTCTCTCCTTTTCATTTGACTTTTTCTTCTCAGGCTCTATAAGAAGGCCTCTTCATCTGGATTCTCATTTAAATATTCACCTCCCTTCTTATCTTTGGTCCTTTGGTCCTTTATTCTCCCCCACTAGTCTCTCTGTTCAATTGATATCTTGAATTTTGCTGTACATAGGCTTAATATCTGTCTCCATCCTTGACTTGTCTCCTAAATTCTCTTTCTTTGCATAAGATTATGTCCTGAAATTTTCACCTAGACTGCACAGGCACCTCAAGTTTGGCATTTCTTTTTATTTATTTATTATTATTTTGTCTATGTGCAGTACTGGGGATCGAACTCAGGACCTTTCACTTGCCAGGCAGGTGCGGCGCCACTGAGTTACATCCCTGGCCCCTAAATTGGACATTTTGAAAGATGAAGTGCAGCCATCTTTCTTGACTAAAGCTACATTCTTCTTTTGGCCACTAGAATTATGATCCATGCAGACAAAACTTGATGTCATTTCTCACTTTCTCTCTTTTCTTTTCCCTTATATATCTTGGGTACTTAGTCTACTGTCTTGGTTCAGGGCCCCATCATTCCTCATGTTGATACTGTCTCTTAACCTGACTTCCACTTGCCATCTTAGATCTCTCCAGCCCATCTTCCACACTGCAGCTTGAGTGGATTTTCCAAAATGAAGTCTGTTCCCTAAGATAAAACTCTGCAGTGACAGCACATTGCCTCTTAAATCCAGACCAAACTCCCCAATGTGATGTATGAGGAAGCCTTTCTGAAATGACTCTACCTCCTTTTCCAGCTTCACCTCTCTTCATTAAACCCTGTCCTCTACTCTTTCCAGCTATTTGCCACTCCCTTGAATCTACAGGCTTCTACATGTGCACTGTTCCTTTGCCAAAAATATTTCTCTGATTATGAAATCTCTCCTCTTATAGTGCCCATGCCATTGCAGTTGAACTGCATTACCTAGCTCCCTTACTAGTTTCTGAAGGTAAGTATATAGTGTGAGTCATTTGCTCTTCCAGATGTTTTGTCCAATATCTATAACATAGAAAATTCGGCTTATTAAATTGAACAGTTTGATTGGCCTCTTTGGATACTCTACAAATTTTATTGTTCCCCTTCAAATATGATATAAAGAAGTTAACATAGTGGTATATCTCAACTAGTACAGTTTTAATAACATTATTCCTCCGCTTGAAAATGACATTTCTTTCCACTAGTAATAGCCCAAAGTGATAATCACTAACCTAATAGAGCACCTCCTGTAGCCCAGCTGTGGTGCTGTATACTGGAATAAATTATATTTTTATTCATCTACCTACCCTGTCATGAAGACAGTCTTATTCTACCTTCATATTATAGTTTAGGAAGTTGAAACCTAGAAAATTTTACACTCCTCCAGGTAAAGCATTGGTGAATTTAGAATTCAAACTCATTTCCTTGTTATTATAAACTTTGGGCTTTTTATGCTACCTGGTATTTGCTTGAAATTTCCCAATACTCCAATCTTATATTAATACCTTGGGGTTCAAAGCCTATTAAAATCTACCATGCCAGCTTTTCCTTCATTCTGTATTTGCATAATTGATTATTTGAAACTATATGCTAGAGTCTGCATTTATACTTATTAAAATGTATAATGCTAGCTTTAATTTTTATCATTATTATTCTGATCTAATAATACCACAAGCAAAGAAAATGACTTTTTAAAATATGACCTAGTTTTACAAAATTGAACTTTTATCTCTTTGTGACTACTAATTTATTTCCCAAGTGATCCCATATCATTTATTCAGTAATTCTTTCTGGAATTGATATCTAATCACGTTGGAATATATCTATTTTGTTTCTGTTTTGAGATCAAGATAAAATGTGTCCACCCTTTCTTTAAAGGTACAGTGAAATTATGACAAAATATGTTTTGGTACACATATTTTGTACTCTTTGCTCCACACTTGTATACCTTTCTGTGCCGTCTCAGTTTTATGTTCCTCAAGAACATACACTATGTATGTTCCTAAAACACCCATGACATCACACTTTCATATATGAAGGGAATTAAAATTAAATGTCATGGAGATGATTCTTCTCTGAAAATACACATTAGTGCTTTGAAGTCTCTTGAAGCAAGTCACTATGTAAAATACAAGCTACAGAGCAAAAGAAACAGGAAAAACTCAACTATGTTCTTTGTGAACACTCAAAAACATTTTTTCAACTTTTAATACTTTTGGGAATGACTAAATTGAAGGTATTCTGCCAAATGAATCATCAAACTCCTTCTAATGAAATAAAATGTCAGAAGAGCTTTACAAAATTTCAAAAGTCCTAAGTACAGAAGCCATGCCATTCTAAAGAGCATGTTTGGGCAAAAGGAATCACAGATATGTCACTACCCAAAATGTCTAAACAAACTTACTAAGGGAAATAAAAAATCTGGGTCCTAACTAGTAAAATTAGAGTCTATCATAGTAGATACAGCTGCTGTGAGTTTTGTAATATTCTTATGTCAATGAAAATGAACATGAAATTTGATGATGTATTAATCAGAGTCCATTCAGAAAGGAAAAAAAGCTGCCTAGTGATTTGAAGTAAGAGAGATATGAGGTGTGATCAAAAACATTTAAGAAATTATAATTTTATTATCAATTTGTATATAGATAATTAGAATCCCGAGGCATTGCCCTACAGTAAAGAAAGATAACACTAAGCACACAGTATACAGGAGTAGCTGACATAGAGAGCAGCACTACCCCTGAACTGAGACAGTGTCCCCAACAGAGAGGATACCCCCACCGAGGACTGAGATGCAGACCTCTTGGGAAAGAGTGGCTCTCTGATGGCAAAGAAACTTACTGAGTGGTCCCCTTGCTAAGACTCTCTAAAATCTACCCTTTGAAGTGCCCAGTAAGGCTATCCGTGGGGAGAGGCCACAGTTTGGCATTAGTGACAGGCTACCAACAAGGACTTCAGAGGATTCCTGTGAGACAAGCTGCCTGGCCGATGTCACTCTCTATAGAACCACCTAGGAGGAATATGTAGGAAACATTACTCATGGGTGGTGGGGCGCTGTGAGGACCATTTGCTGCTGAAAGGACCCACAGATTCTGAAAGAGGTCTGTGGAGTGTGCTCAGCAGGCCAGGAGAAGCGGCCTTCCGTCTCCAGGGTTCCACTAGCACCTTCTGAAAACAAAGTGCAAGATTAGAACAGAAGAAGAGGGGAGAAATATTTAGAGTCCATTCATTTTGCAGGATGCCAAGAAAAGGTAGATTTGGAGCTGAGAGGCAATAAATTTATAACTGACAAAAATATTATCTGGAAAAAAATTCTTTTTGATATAAAGTTGAATTCCTAAAATTGAGTGATAATTAGCTGTGTTTTTCATTTTTCTAATTAATCATACTTTATTTCAAAAGACTTAACTCACGTTAAATGGACAAAAAATTTATAAAACCAATACATTCTATCCTAGAAAACTAAAAGCAGTAATAAATCAGAAATCTAAATGTAAATTGTGCAGATTTGTAAAAACCATTGTAGCCTCACAATAAATGTGGAATTTGAGTTAAATCACCTAGTACTTCAATTTAACTACTCTGTATTTCAAAGATTTGTAGTTCACTTTTTTTGTCAAATCTAATAACATTGTTAAAATTTCAAAGACAAAAGGTTGATCAGATCAAGAATTTATCTTGTTGAGCTGGAAATATTCATGGGTATTCACTTATGATATAAAATCCACTAAAACCAAAACTCTGTATAATACCAGTCTTGATCTTTTTTTCTTTTCTTAAATTCTTTTATTGATACATTTTAGGTATACAACATATTTACATTTCTCATTGGGAACTTGTACCTTTACATGATGCATCTTGGTTCTTATTTTTTCCCCATTCCTAGCCCTCCCTTCATGCCCTCCACCCTTCCCTATTTACAAAGACTTTATTTCTGGTTTTTCCATTTCTCATCATTTTTCCTTTCCCTTTTTTCCTTTCCCCTGCCCCTCCCACTACCCCTACCCCTTTGGACCTTTTCTTCCTATTTTGCATTATCGATTATTCATTCTAATCATTGACCAGTCTTGATCTTAAAATATGAGGTGTTAGGTGTTTCCACTTTCTAAAATACTTGAAACTTTACATGACACTGAAGCACAATTGTTATGGTTACTGAGAACTACTGTAACATTAGTTATTGTCTACAAATGGCATTTGTGTTGGAAAAATGAAAGTCATTTCAAATACTACTATCAGTACTAAGCATAAATGGAGAAGGCAGTATGACTCATAATCTTTCCTAGATCAAATTCCATTTGTCTCATTTGTGAATTCCTAATGTAATGTTCCAAATTATTTGGTCATTGACTTGTCCCGATCAAAGGTTTTGTGATTGCCTTTGGCATGGCACTCCTTGTGTTGTTGTTCATTGGGGAGAAAGCCTGTCTATGTGATCACTGCTGGGCTAAAGCCTTTTCTAGAATGTTATCCCATGTCTAACCAAGTCATGTCTGAAAGAAAATTAGGTTAGTGAGGAAGATGATGGGCTAAGGCCTAGTTTAGATCACAGTTTCTCAAGCCATGCACTACCCACTTCACAATCACCTGATGTGCTTCATAAAATGCTAATCCTTGAAACTTTTCTATGATGAGCTTAATCAGACTCTGAGAGTCTATAGTTTGAACAGGCGTTTAGTTGATTTACATTCGTACTGATGTCTGAGAGCCAAGAGTCAGAGCCAAGAGTCATTTTTTTTTCCAAAGCAGAATTGGCTAGGGTCATAGCAGTGATAGCTAGTAAAGCCTGAGTATGTCTTGCTCTTATCACATCAGTTGGGACTTTCGCACTTGTCAGGGGTACCTGGTAATAGAGGCCAACCTTGGCTGCCTAAAGCAAAAGAAGAATTATTGGAAGAACTATCTTTTTTTTTTTTTTTTTGGTACCGGGGATCCAACTTGGGTCCTTGTGCTTGCGCAGCAGGCAGCAAAACTACTGAGCTAAATCCCCGGCCCTTGGAAGAACTATTTTAAGGATGAGATTGGAGAAGGGAGGAAGCAAGGTATCACTGAGTGTATGTACATCTGGCATTAACTGCCAGATAGACAGTTAACTGGACATCAGCACTGCCTTGAATCAGCCTCAACTTTTGTTGTATCTTGATTTAGGCTCATCCCTTATCTATTTTTTTTCTGGTACTGGGGATTGAACTCAGGACCTTGTGCTTGCCTGGCAGGTGCAGCACCACTGAGCTACATCCCTGGGCCCCTTTTCATTCCTTACCTACAAAGAAGAGAATCCTCCAGATGCAAACAGTGGAGAAAAATTTTTTTTTTCCAGTAGGCTGTAATCAGAAATTAGGCAGAATGGATGTCTGATCTATAAAATTTTGATTTGCTATCACAGGATAAATCTTTAAAAGACTAATTAAGAGTTTAGAGAGTATTTGTTTAATAGCAGTCAAAACAGGTCTTCAGATAATGAAACAACTTTCACATGACATTCTCTTAATTTGTAGCCTGAATATGCCAATATTTGCTTTTGGTACATTCCACCAAGCCTCAGAGAGATGGAAGAAGGACCAGAGTTCTGGGAAAAAGTTAATTTGGTAAGTAATGAGTAAATTTTATTTTTCTTTTTGATGGATAAACTCAATACCCCTTGTCTATTGACCCCATAAATAATTCTGCACTTGTGAGGGCATCTTGAAGATGTAGAGAGGTGGCTCCTACCATATTAGAAAATAATGACATACCGAACAGTTGTAAACATTGTTTATATCCAGAAAAATTGCACACTTGATTCATACACAAAAATTCAAGGCTATTGTGCTGTTTGCAAGATAATTATAGAATTTATTAGAAGTTCTGATTCCCAGTGTACTGCAGAAAATGTGATCTGGTAACAGGACACAGAATAAATTTGTGTGATGAAGAGCTACTGCTTTCAGCTATGCTAGAGCATCTCTCAGAACTCACTTGGAAATAATGTTAAGCATTTTAATCTGATACCCTTTCTAAGTGCGCAGCATTCCCCTCTCTTCACCAACAAAGGCCTGCATCTTATATTCAGAGGAAAAGCCAAAAGATGCCAGGAGTGGGTTTCAACTGATCACTGAACAAAATGTATTAGTCAACACAGCCTTTCCCTTATGCCTGCTATATGAACACATATATTGAGAGCGAGCTTAGGAAATCCCCCTTGAGGGTTATGTGCCCATAACCTGTAGCATGAACACTCAGGATGGGTTGCTGCCATTGCATTTAAGCAATTCCTTAGCACTCCTGAAATAAGCACAGTGGTGTCAATGTCCCTGCCTTTTGACAAAAAAAAAAAAAAGTAAAGAAAGCAACAACCATTTACTGAGTGCTCACTGTGTTATGCCCTGGAGATGGCAAACATCAAACAACTTGGTCTTTGCCCTTCAGAAGTTTATGCTTAGGGAGACAATGAATAAAGAGATGATCACCTGGTAAGTGGAGATAAACCCTGTTTTCAGTGAACATGGAGAGAAAGAACCTCGGTGTGTGACACACCAGAGCTGAGTCTTCAATAATAAATACAAGTCAGGCGAGGAATTGTGAAGACATAGATTCCGAGAGAAACCACAGCATGGTGACCTGGAGGCTCAACGAGGGAAGATGTGAATCGAAGACCACAGGGGTGTGAAAGAACAGCAGTGGGATGAGAGCTGTAATCTGAGGGAGCACTGTGTATCTTAAGTGACCAATATATAAATATTGTACCTCTTATCAAACTTGAGATCAAATAGCAAAAATGGGGAAAGATGGGTGGTTTTAGTCTGTGCCCCGGCCTAGACAAGCTCTTCAATATGCATTTCAGGCAGTTATTGTAATCCTTGGGATTCGTCTTAGATTTTTTTTTCTCACAATGCAAATAGGAAAGTGCTTAAGAATACATTTCGGAAGGTAAATGACTGATGAGAAAAAGCAGGAACTAGACAGTGTGAGATTGTAATGGTGAGGTTTCCAGGTACATTCTCCACTTTGATGGGATGAGGATGACATTTCTTGGCGGGGTAGGAAGAGGAACTGCTTCAAGTTGAGGAAGGTGTGGTTGCCGTCGTCTTTCTCACTAAGCTAGAAATCACTTTTTGGTTGTTAAGCAACAGAGAATGTGCTTTTGTGTTTTATTGACTCAGTCCTGTTTCACAGACAGGAATCAGTATAACTAGGTATTTTCATTATATCTAGAGATATTTTTGACTCTTCTTTTATTTCCCATTCATAGAAAATTTAAAATTGAGAATGAATATATAAAGTAAATATCATATAATTTTCGTCATAAGTGGAAATTAAACATGGATTCAGGTATTAGTTTTATCCCCAACATTTTCCCACACTTATTTTCCTATGCTTACTATCCATGACTGTCCATCCTTTCATTTTGGAAATACTTTTGTGCCATTTAGAACTGGTCTAATATTATAAAATTTTAATTGTTATGACTGCTTCTGATAAGTAAAAATATGTGCTGCATGAACATTATCGCTGTTCCTCGGCTTCTTAGTTTCCTCTTATTTTTTCCTTCTGTGTGTATGTGTGTGTGTGTGTGTGTGTGTGTGTATGTATGTGTGTGTGTGTACACACATGAGTTTGGCAACTGAGAAGTAAGGCATATATATCTATTGTTAATTTATGTGATTTCATGCTTACTGTACTATGAGACTACAAGTGTGTGATTTATCACCGGGTGTGCACTTAATGCACACTTGAAATTTATTTTGGGATTTATCTTGTATGGAGAATCACAAACAAATAAATAAACCAAATAAACCTTCACCCTCTGATTCAGACTAGTGTCAGGTTGAGCTGTCAGATTTCAAAAATCGGTGGTGTGGTAAGTCTTCTTTTTGGCAGCAGAAGGGGAGAGGGATTATTTGGTAAAGAATCTAGAGTGGCAGAGTGTGTAAATGTGTGTGTGGTTGCAAGAATGTGTGTGCATGTGACTGTTTTTGAGAACGCAGTCACTCTGCAGCCCAGTAACACTGTGACAGTTACTCTGTGACATTATATTTAATCACCGAGTTCCACTGACATTTTTTTAAAATTTCCTCCATTAATGCTCTCTCTGACTCTTTCAAGCATTTCAGCAACATCCTAGGTCTTCATTTCTTCCCTGCCTACATTGTATTTGTCCCTTTTCTGGTCTTTTTGCCTCCTGCCTTACCCTCTGTCTTATTTTCTTTACTCCCTGCACATCCCTACCTCTGGCTCTGCTTTATCATCACTCTGCTGCTGAAAGACTCTGAATTGCTTCTCATTCTTTGCAGCAGCAGCTTTCAGCCTGTCAAGTCGAGGGACTACTATTTATAATAAATACTATTAATGTTACTTTTAACTCTCCTGAAATGAAACCAATAGGAAATATGACCCTCCTATGAACATAATTTTATAAAGCTAAATAATACCGTGTATGTAACCCAAAAAAGAAATTAGTTTATAAGAAAAATATGTTTCATTATATCAATGCTTGACAATATTAGAAGACAATATTAGACATGACAATATCAGAAGACATGCAGAAGTGATACAGTTCTCACAGATACTCCTAATAACACAGTGAATGTAAGACATATACAAATACAACCTCTTGTAAATAGATCATGTTGGTGATGCAAGCAACAAGAGTGGTGTAGTATTAATGACATGATTTTCAAAAATGGCACATAACTCTTGATAAAGTTCCAAAGAAAACATTTTTCTCTTGCTTGACATGTTGGTAGAAAATTTTCTTTTTTAGAATGGGTACATGGTATTTGGCATTTCAAGTTAAATGCTGGGTTTAGATGATCATAATCAAGGCTTTCCCCTCATGCATTTCTTATAGACTGTTTGACAGTTGGGCAAGCCAGGGACAATTCTCCCTGGCTCAGGACTATTCTAGCTCTACAGGGCAGCTGGCATCTCTGATCCCCACCCACTGCATATCAATAGCATTGGCAAACACAATGAAACTAAAAACATCCACCCAGGTTTCTCAGATACTCCCTAGGAGGATAGTACCATCCCCTGAGAACCACTGGCCTGCAGGATAAAATGTAGTGTCCTGTGCTTGGAATCCAAAGCCCTCCCTGGCTGGTCCTAAGCCGCTTTTCTAATTCAATCTATTGTGACTTCTTGTATTGAGAACACAGTGCTATGTAAGTTGCCAGAGGATTTTCACCAATTTGCTTACAAGAACTAAATTATGGATATTTTTTGCTAAAGAAGTTGGCAAAAAAACTGTAATTTTTGATATTGCTGAGAGCGTCAGCAGACTCTGCTAAACTACTTATGGGCACGCAAATTTGTACCACTTTTCTGAACAGCAACTTTATACTACCCATCAAATACTTTAATTTTGCATCTATTTTCTTTCCACAATTCTGCTTTTAAAAATGTATCATTTTGAATAGTTTTAAAATCATGAGGGGCAAAAAGCTATTCAGATCATAGGGATTACTTAAAGGAACAAAAATTTTAGAAGTAACTATTCAACTATATGGGTTGGTTAAATTTTAATATATAATTTATATTCAAATTTATAGTGTTCAGACAATTAAAATTCCATTCAAAAATAATATATTCATGATATATCATAAATTTTAAAAAACAGGTTGTAAGTCAGTCATTTATAATTACTACTAATTTTGAAAAATGTTTATATATACATATATACATACGTAAATACATATAAAAATGTATAATACTTAGATTAAGACTAGATAATTAGCACCAAAATACTTCTAGAGAAAAAATTACAGATGATGTTTCTTTCCTTTTCCATTTCTTAGCAATTTCTTAATTTTCTATAATTAAATATATTGCTTTTGTAAAAATAACAATAAAATAATAATAATAAACCAGTGTAGACTAATTGATCTGATGAAGCCACAAGCTTCCTTGAGTGCTTATCTAGGTAAAGGCTTGCTACCTTTTGACAGTGAGCGCCTAACAGTTAAAAGACATGAGCATTCACCTTAATATTTCTATACTGTTTTAAAACTATAATTATTACTTTGCAAATGCAGCATATGCATTTTAAACACAAAGTATGTCAAAAGTAAATTTTACATTTTTAGAGGTTTTTTTTTAAAGATAGGGTCTCACAATGTAGTTCAGGCTAGCCTTGAGCTCTCTATGTAGCCCAAGCTGGCCTTGAACTCATGGTGATCCTCCTGCCTCAACTTTCCAAGTGCTGGGATTACAGGCATAGGCCGCCACACCCAGCTACATTTTTAATTATTAAAGAAATGTTCTAACCTTTTCTTCTAGTACCACAGAAGAGTGTCTTCTTTGGAGATCAAGATTATACAATATCTGATCAGTTTGCGAACTATTTTCTCTCATTACATGTTAGAGTATATAATTTGTCATTCATTTTTTATCTCCCTCTTTGTCTTTGTCTCTATCTCTCTATTTCTCCTTTACTAAAACATGTACACTGCACTGATTTCTAGTTCAAAGGCATCTCTCTGATGATTCCTAGTGAGATCTTCAACTGGCTTTCTGGGGCTCCTTGAAAGCTTCCCGCATTGAGGTAGAGCTGTACTTTGCTTTCTAAAGCTACTGCCTAACTTAATTTTTTGTGTGCCTGTTTCTTCTG